CGAGGCAAGGTTGGATGGGGCTTTGGGCAACTTGGTCTAGTGGCGGGTGTCCCTGCCCACAGCAGGGGCGTTGGAACTAGATGGTCTTTGAGGTTCCTTCCAACTGAAACCATTCTGTGATTCTATGATTCTATGATTCTATGATATTTAATACCACTTCAGTGCACATCTCCAGGTTCCAAAACTGTGCCTGACATATACCATAAGTTCAAGCATACCACTTCTATGCCTAGGGATACAGTCAAGGTTTTCTTTGCTGGCATAGAAAATCACCCTAATAAACTCCTCCTTCCTCTGGAACTTTCTAGATAAATGAAGCAAATCAATGTTTCAAAATATATTTGGGAATAATACAGAAGACTATGGGTATGCTAACCTTTCCTATAAATTGTACATACATGCTGATCAGACAACTATGTTAAGAGTCCGTGGTCTCCAGGCTGCACTGGCTGAAGCTGGTGGGTTCAGGCTCTCCTGGACTCTGCCATCACTGCACTCTGCAACAGAGTATCCTGAAGAATACGCCACATATGTCACAGCTCTTCCTCCTCTCTTGATAGGACATGCAAAGACCATTGCTGTCCCAGCTTATAAAGCAGGTGGGAGCTTGTCCTCTACCACTCAGGGTAAGGGTGCAGTGAGGTGGTTTTCCATAGAGTTGCCTTCTCCTCATCCCATTCCACTTCTCTCCCCTCAAAGTAAGCCCCCTAGCCCAGAACAAGGCCCAAGGTGCCATTGTCTCTTCAGCCTATGGGGAGCAGCACACACTGCGCTGCCCTCTGGACCACAATGGAGAACTGTCTGGAAGAGTGGTAGTTGGTGTGGACCAAAGCAGGCAAGAGAGCATCCTAATCATTAACTGCAAAGGACCTGTCCCTGAGCTTGTGTGTGTGCTGACTTTTGTTGACTAGAGGAGATATAGTCCAGGGGGCAACATTTCTTAATGCAAGATGTCTGTTTTGAAACAAGATGCCTATTTTGAGCCAATCTAACAATGTCTCTGATAGAAACCAGGATCTGAGTATTGTATGGACGCTTGTTATCATAATAACAAATTGTGAGCTACCGCAGGAGGTCTGTGGTGTCTCATGTGAACTGTCTTGGAGTAATGATTTTCAGGTAGCCTTTTTTAGCAAATCTTTTTTTTTTTTCTTTTAGAAGTAGGCTTTTAGTTTATGCAACTGAATTAATTTTACTAGAAAGAATTGAAATGGTAATTTAGCAATAATTTTCGTAATATTTTTGTATGCATGATGTCTGATATTGAGATGCTTGTCAAAATGTTGCTTTGAGGGTGTTTTTAGTTAAAAGAAAAGCTCCAATTTGTTTATGAGTCAGGGATAGGAAAATCCATCATCATGCGAAAGTATTATAAACACGCAAGCACATATATATGTATACACACATGATAATATTACTATTATATATTATATAATATAACCTATTTCAGTAGGTTATATTCAGTAGTAGACTACACAAATATGTTGAAATATCTTACCATTTAACAATTAAAATGGCATAGATTTGCCTTGGCCTCAGTTACTCTTTGTCTTCTCGAACACTTCAGAACCTTTTAAAGATGTAAATGATTGCACAAATAGTAAGGGAGTGTATAAAAAGTACAGGAAAAGGTCTGACTTCAGTGAAATTACGGAAGTTTCTACCAAGTATGACAGTTGTAATTTAACAGCTTTTTAAACTGTGTGGTCCTTGATATGATCCCATTCACCATTTTATAATAGTGCATCTCCTTTAGAATCGTAGCATAGAATCATAGAATCTTTAAGGTTGGAAAAGACCTCTAAGATCATCAAGTCTAACAGTCAACTCAACACCACCATGTCTACTAAACCATGGCTTTAAGGATGATACTTCTGGTTTTTAAGAATATAAACATAGTAATTCTATAAATAAATTTCTTTTATGGATATTGAGTGCCCTAATATATTTACTTAGTCATTGTGTTTCCCTATAATTACTGTTATCAAGGAAAGCTTTCTTAACTAATTCCAAGTTTTAGCAAATTTATAATTTTGTCATTTAACCCCACTTACAAGTATTTTAAAATTAATTTCTCATGATTAATTGGAATAATTACTTTGTATATTATTGGTATTTTGTTCTTCTTGACAGTTCTATTCTACAAAAATTCTTTTTTAAGTCTTATAGACATGAAACTGAGAAGTGAAAAAATGAGAGAACATGAAGCAGCTAAAAATGCACTCAGACATGCAGAAATAAGTAGTGCTTTTCTTCATCTGTGGTCTGCTGTGCTTATATACATTTCAGGTAACCCCTTTCAAATGAGATTTACTCTTAATTTGCACCACTGAAGTGAGAGAATTTAATTCCAGCTGCTTGTATCTGTAGATCATTCTGAAATGCTTTGATGTCTTTAAGCTCACAATGAGATTGGTCATCACGCTTGGTTAATGGCATTGAAAGAGAGTCCCTAGTATGTAAGTAACCACTAGTAAAAACTCTAGTTTACTCTGGCACGGGCAGAAGATGTACTTCTTGTAGATTTAGTGCTAAATCACAGCTGTCCCTGTGTGAGTGGGAAGGTTTCCTCCACCAGAGGCTGTGTTCAGAGATGTGAGTGCTCTCAGTGAGGAGCTCAGTCCTCCACCACGACTCGCGGTGACGCTGTTCTCTCACCACTGATGGACGAGTAGAGCCAGCAGGTCCAGGGAGTGATTAAACATCTCTATTTAGCACTTGGGAGACCACATCTGGACTCCCGTGGCCAAATCTCGGCAAGGTCTGTCATGGGGGAACAAAGGAAGAGCTTATTCTTCCCTCTCCAAATGTTCTGGAATTGCTTTTCTGCTTGAAACTGTGAGAAGATATAGTTGAAAAAATCCAACTGTAGTGGTCCTTCTCTAGAAGGTGCAGGCTGTAATGGTACTGACATGTCTTATACTACAACCATAACATCTAAGCATTGTATCTCGTACTTTTTTTACCACCATACTGAAGAATATTCACATTTCAGAGTCTCAGGGCCTGCAAATCACAGCTACATCAAGGAAGGGCATGTCATCTGGACAGAAACACTGTGTTATCCAGAGGAACTCCTACAGAGTTTGAAGATGACCACCAGAAATCCTGAATCTTGCCACAGCGTGGGCAAATAAGCATGTGGCACGTGACTATTTCACATACAAACACAAATATTTTGCATTTAGCACAAATACTCTTGATCTTGAAAACAGGACGGCTGCTGTTCAATGTATACTCAGAAAAAAATGTAATGCTCGAGTAGGATTGTTCTGGTTCTCATTATGTAAAGTCAGAAGGATGAGAAAGTTGGACTGAGGTCCCCATACAATTGATAGTGTTAATAATATTGATGCTGCAAATTAGCAAAGGCAGGTTCAGAAATGTCAGGATTTACTTTTCAAGATTAGATCAAGATGAAAAAGGGAAATGCTGCTGCACTTAGAAAAAAGTATCCCTAAAATTTTAACAACAGGCATTCATATTTGATTATACCTAGAGATAAAATGCAAATGACAATATTTCAACTTCTCTTACCAATTGCACATCACTGCATCAGTGGTTAAAGCTTCTGTAGCTAAGCATACTGCTGTCCATGTATTTTTCTTCTTCTTAAAACAGGCCTCAAAAAATACAAGTGAAATGACAAATGTGAATGCATTACTTTGTCATTCAGGAACCATTAACAGTGGAACAGTGAACAATTATCAGTGAAAAAAACTTATCCCTTTGGATTTTTCTTCTGGCATTGCTATAACTGTGATATTGTATGTAATACTGTATATACTTACCTTTTTTGCAGGCCAACCTTTACAAATCGACACCTATGATGACAGAGAGTCAGTTGGTATGTAATGCACAACTGTGCTACGCTGTTTTTCAAAATTTGCACAAGCACAAAATCTAAAGTAGTTGTTATTTACTTTCTTAGACTTTGAAAGAAGCTGCAGTCAGTATCCTCCTACAAAGCTGCATTGCTTCTACAGAGCTGCATTGCTTTTTTTCTGTACTGAATAGACATGTTTTAAATAACTGTAAATCCTGACACTACTTGTATATCCTAGACAAACTAATGTCTTGCTGAATCTTGAGGTGTGTGACAACTATAGAGTCTACTGATGGTTCTTGGATTCTTTTAATATTCCACTTCCACAATTTTATTTATATGCAACAATGTTCTGGCGTCTGTTTTCTTCTTACACGCTGGTTTAAATCAAAGCTGGCTTAACTAGTGAAAAGCAAGGATAAAATCAAATAAAGAAGGTGAGATTATGCAACAGATGTTAATTTTAGCTCTGATCATAATTTAATTCTTTTGGAGACAAACTTTCTGAAGAGTCAGAAGAGAGGTCATGGAGCCTGTGACCACTAATGAATTCTTAGGGAAAAAATGAGATATGGATGAGAGATTTTCCCCATTGTATGGGGACATTCCATGGGTTAATGGAACTTTAGGGACTTCCTGAATTAATTTCTTCTGTTTAGTAATCTTTGACCACTTCTTTCATGATTTTTTCCAGTTACTTTTTGAATCTTGTTATTCTTTGCTCTCTACAACATTCTGTAGCAACAAGATTTACATTTTAATTGTGCATTGTGTGAAACAGTGCTCTATTTCTTTGTCTTAAACCTATGGCTTGACCTCAGTTCTTGTACTGAAACAGCAAATAATTGTTCTTTCTGGACTTTCTAAATAATATTAACAATTTTCTAAATATTAACAATAATACCCTATTGATCATGTCTTTTCCATACAAAAAAGTCAAAATTGCTTAATCACTCTTCAAGAAGTATGGATACTGTCCTATATTTTTGATGATTCTTCTTGCCCTTTTCTATATCTTTTTCAGGTTTTTGTTTTTGAGATTGGGGGACTAAACCCATAAACTGCTCTTGTCTAGCTCTGAACACAGCACTTCCTATTTACATGATAAGGTTGACATGATAAGGTTCTTTATTGTTATTTCTATTCATTTCTTAACAATTCCTAGTAATTTATTTAGTTCTTATTTGTATTGAGCACTAAGTCAATGTTTGCATAGAACTGTATACAATAAACCCAAAATACTTTTTTTCTGAGTAGAAAGAGCTAGTTTCTGTGCCAACTGGTTCATCACTGCATTTGTAAATTTAGGATGTAGCTTAGTTTTTCCCTGTGAAATGTATCAATGTTGAATTCAGTTAAGTTTTTTATCATTCACTCACTCAGTATCATAAGATCTGTTTGCAAGTCTTTGCACTGATGTTTTTACTCTCCTGAATGGTTCAGTATTACCAGAAAACTTTGTCACCTTACTAGCCACTCTTTTCTCATCGATGTACATCCATAATTCAATGCCCAGATTCCAGAGCATGTCTCTGAGGAACTCTATATGTGACTTCCCTCCTCTGTGAAAGGTAAATGCTTATTCCAACTGTTTGCTTCCTATCTTTTAGCTGGTCCACAGGAAATATTCTCTTTTCCTCCGTAGCAGTTTTGTTTCCTTAGTAGACCCTGCTGAAAGACCTTCACCCAAGCCTTTGGAAATCCACATGTACCATAGCTGCACCTCCCCTGAAGTTTACAATCTGTGATGCAGCCTCATTTTGTTATCCCTGGTCATACATTTAGGGACCTGATGGAAAAAAAAAACCCAAACGCTGAGCCTTATATAAGATGGTCTGTTGACTCCCACTTGGTTTCATCTAATGTGTGTTCCTAGATGCTGAAAGATTCTCAAATTGCTCGTTTAAACATGTGCTGTATCAACAGCTTTCTTGCATCGCTGACTCTTTAAAATAACTGTAAAAGATTTATCAGGCATGAGTGCCCTTTCAAAAGCCAATACCTATTATTTGTCCATTTATATACTAATTCTATTCTTTAGTATAGTTTGCTCCTACTACTTTGCACGGCTTGAAATGTCACACATAGTGATATATGATTCCTGGTCCTCTTCAGCATCCTGTAGTAAAACCTGCCCCGTAGTTGCCACTTCTCATTCTTATGGTACTGATTCTGTCTGAAGCTAAATACCACAATTCATAGTGTGGGAATTTCATATGGAATTGCTTTACATCTTTATTTATTCCTTGTACTTTATTTGCTCATTTTATTGTTTTCTTCTCAAGTGTCTCTCATCGACACTGTACTTGAGACAGTTCCTCCAAATTGTTTCTTTGACAGTGTGAGAACCTCCCTAAATCTTCCTGTGAGGAAAGCTGAAGTGAGGAATTCATTTTCAGCCTTGGTCTTCTCTTTGTGCATCTTTTTTATGTCTTTATTATATCTACTGGCCCCACAGACTTTTAGTTGTAAGGAAATTTAGCAAGTTTTTTTTCAAAGTCTTTCTTGGCCTGACATATGACACTTTTTATATTATGGGCGAGATT